TGAGTTGAAGTTTCCAAAAAGTTTGCTGCTGTTATTACAATAATACCCCCGCCGCAGCAAAACTGCAGACTAAGCGAACTTCTAATTGCCTGATTGCATTACCAGTAAAATATCTCTTTCAAAATATACTACTTATTCCCTATTTAAATAGCATTTGTTTAATGAGTACACATAGGTTTGCTGCAAGAGGCAGGGTAGTAAGTGTTTTTTTTTGTGAAATGTCAAAAGTTAAGTGTAAAATAAATGCGTTTCCAAATTTAATCAAAATACACTCCTTTTACAGGAAATTACAACAATTTACTTATTCTCCATAAGAATAACATGGGAATTATAAAATTAAAATTTGTTGGCATTTTATCTGTAAACTATTATGGCGCATAATAACACTTCGATATACTAAATTATTTGTCTTTAAGCTCTACAAATTGCTTTCAAAAGAAATTGCAAAAATTTATGCTTTTAGGGTTAAAGTTGGGAAAACTAGATTTTTTCACCATAAACCCCAGTTTTCATGGTCCGATCGTGCTGGTTCGTGAACTCGTTCGAATAAATGTAGGTTTAACGTTCATACCAAATTTATTTTTGCTCGAATTATCGTGCTAACGGACATCAAACATATATATGAATTCAAACAGATGGTGTTTTCGGCCTTTGGGACATAAAAACGAAAAAATAAATCAGTGGGTCCAGGTCTTACCATAATACCTACGGTAATAACTTATTCCCTATATGGGAAATTCGCTAAAACGTTTGTCTGGGTCTGGTTTCAATAAAAATCCTCTTCATCGACGTCAAATTCGCCATTTAATAAGACGTAAAATAAATATTTAAGTTTATTAAATAAGTAAAATCATAGATTCACAACTGGAGGTGAAACTTAAAAACCACTATGTAAGAAGTTCAAAAAGTCCGTACGAAGAGTGGATACGTATGAAAGATTCTGAAATTCACAGTTCACAATTATTTAATAATACATATTACTAACGATTTCATGAGCTTTACGTTACACTTGCGATCACGGATTTTACCTTTTTTTGCAGCAATATATTGCAAATTTGCTGTAACCTCTTTTTTTGTAAAAAAAAGGTTGCTCTGCATCTAAAAGTGGCTGGACTTTTTAATGAATACCAAAACTTAATACAGTAATCTCTTCCAATTACATTTAACAAAGAAAACATTTAAAAATTCTTTTTGTAATCAAATTATAAGTTTGTTTTTGAGGTGTGCCAATAATGTGATATAGTTTTTCTGGAAAATTAATAAGATATTACTCACCGGTACTGTGATTTTTAAAATATTTACGATTGTAAAATGTTTTACTAAGGTTAAAATTGCTTCGCATTTTAAAGCTTATAATTATTGTTTAACTATATTAATTTAAATTTATTATGGTTTGAAATAAGTGTAACGTTTGTAAATTTGTAAATGATTTTACCTATACAATTTTAGTAGGCCTAGGCTAATAATTTGTATTTTATTTTTAGTCCAGATATTTAAATTGATTGTTTATTTGTTGTTGTTGTTTGTTTTGTAAATAATATACACAATGTTTATGCTAACGATGATTAATTTGATGTAAATCTATGTGTTATAGGACTGTTATTAATGTTTGATAAAAACCACCAATTTTGGCTCACTTGCCCTGGAATTTTGAACATTTTGTATGTAGAGTAATTAAATATAAAGTCAATTTTGAAGTCTGAAGTTTTATTAAAATTCCTACAGTGCTTTAAGTATTGATATAATTTTGTATTGCAAGTCATAAAAAACATAGACGTTTGTCGGCCATTTTTTCCAATTTGAGGAGTGGAGCTAACTGTTGTATGAAACAGAGATTACAGCTAATTTGTTATAGCAATCTGCGGTTGTATACAAAACTAATATTTTTGAACTTGGTACTAAAGTTCAGAGAGCTCATATAAGCCCAGTAGGCTAATATGAATGATTGATTATTGTAGAATTTGGAAAGTATAAATTCACAGTCATTCTTTCTCACGGTCTTTTTAAAACTTCTTATATTAGTGGTTTTTAAGCTTCATCTCCTGTTTTAGGTATATCTTATCCCTTTTCCTTTCCTATAAATGATAAACATAACATAAAGTATAACACAATTTCAAAGTTCAAACAGCAACCCTCAGCCGTCAGGGCTGTGAGAGCCTAAATTGACCACTGCGCGGAGATGGACATGTGCCGCGAGGGATCCGAAGTGACCACTGTGCGGAATTAGACAGTTGGTTTTGACAGATTTCTGACCACTGCGCAGAGTTGGGATAAGCCCAAAAAGGGATACAGCCCGCTAATTAAGATTAAACATAAATAATCAAACAAATTTATTTCAAAATTTTTGAAACTTGTTTTTTTAAGAACTACTCAAACAATTGTTAATTAGTATTGTAAGCAATTTAAACATCGTTTTAAAATTGTTTATAAAAAAAATAAGGATAAAACAATTTTAAAATTGTTGTAAAATAGTTACAGCTTGTATTAAAACTCATTTTTTAAACTGCAAAAAAACTGATTGTTTAACAATTTTAAAATTGTTGTAAAATAGTTACAACTTGTATTAAAACTTGTTTTTTTAACAGGAAAAAACTGGTTAAACAATTTTAAAATTGTTTCAATCTTATATTAAGATTGTTGTAATATGAAGTTAAAATAGAAATGTTTTAAAATTGTTATACAACAATTAATTGTAATACGACTTTTGACAATTTTTAACAATTTTTTTGCTTATTGGGTGAATACTTAAGGTTTATTTGAACTATTAGATGTGTGAGTATATATATTAATTATGAGCAAGAGCAATGATGTAGACAGTACAATGGGTGAAGTGCGATTAATACCTAGATGACAATGCCCGTGTGCACACTCCCTATTCCAATACGGGATCATAGTAACTTCAACGTGTCTCTTTGTTCTTACACTTGCATTGAAATCACGTGATTTGCCATTAGATAAGCCTAAAAGGCCGAAAAGAACTAAGGAAACTGTTACAACTTAACCTAAATACGGCTGCAATGGAGGCAATACTCAACATGCTCCCACTAGGGCTGGAAGTCAAGAAATGTGCAGCTATATCTGCCCTAAAAATGGGAAGCAGAGGCGAGCTGAATCTACAGAGGCAGTCTGGTCACCTGTCCATCCTAAGGGGATTCCCAAGCATGGACATGGAGCTAGGCATACCAGACCTCATGACAAAGGAGTACGACTTCGAGATTCCTTACCAAGTTGCAATAGGAGGAAGAGATAACTGGCAACAGTGTAACTTCAGCTTTGACAGAGCATGCTTGGTCTATTACACCGATGGAAGTCAGAAGGATGAGAGATCAGGGTTGGGAGCGTATGGTAACAAAACCAAAATATCTCTGGCCTTGGGCAGAACAACAACAGTATTTCAATCAGAGGTCCTGGCGATTGAGTGCTGTGCTAACAACATTATTGGCAAGAATTTAAGTAAGGGGAAAATCCTAATTCTCTCTGACAGCCAGGCAGCATTGAAGGCGCTGGGGTCATGTGTGACACAGTCACGAACAGTAAAAGGGTGTAAAAACACCCTCAAAAAGTTAGCAGAGCCAAACCAAGTCAAATTGTCTTGGGTACCTGGACATTCGGGGCATGAGGGGAATGAAAAAGCCGATGCATCGGCCAGGAAGGGTGCGGAAGACCAACTGTCAGGACCAGAACCCTACTGTGGTACCCCCATAAGCTCAGGAGTAGCCATAAAGTCCAAGACTGGGTTAAGGCTCAAAAGGCTCTGGCCTGGATGAACCATACCCAGGTATGAGGACGTCTAAATTACTAATTGACCCCACTGATAAAGGCTGGAAAGGCTTGCTGAGCCTTAAGAAAGGGGACATTAGTCTACTAGTAGGAGTGTTAACAGGGCACGGTCCTAAGGAAACATCTCAGGACCATAGGGAGGTCACAGACAGACCTCTGCAGGTTCTTGATTTAGGGATGGTGACACGCTACATTTCTATGATTAAAAATCAATAGCCCCAGTATTGTTCATGATTATTATATGTTTTGGACTCAAAGTAATCAGTAACGTATAGGCTTTAATTTGATTTATTGATCACTTGAATCAGTTAAGCTCAAGATACTGTATTACTCAATCAAAAATCTTAAATTTGATTTTCTTGGATAATATATTTATTTTAACGCTGCTGATCGGCATGGTCCTCTCCTACATGTTAAATGCATAAAAAACATAAGATTGAACATTAAAAACATAAGTGTGTATGCTAAGTTAAATTAATTAATCATTAGCAATGAATGATAACAGCTTTATAATTAATTTAAAAGTGGCAATAACAAACCGTATTTTAGTAGATTTAAGTATTAATATAATCTAAAAAAGAATGATTTTGATATAAAACATATACCACAATCTCCGCAATTTCATGCAGATTATAACTTTGTAAATAAATTGATATTTGAGCCACTATGAACAGAGGATATAGCATATTTTGTGAGCCCAAACACGGAAACGCCATACGACGTAATGAGTAAGAGAGAGACAGTAGTAAGAGAGAGACAGTTTGTACGTTAGGTGGTGGGGGGAGCGCCGAGCGGCCGGACCAAAAACCCAGCACACAGTGTGCGATCCAGCTGCAGTAATAATAGAGATCGATGGCCTATATAGGCCTACTTATGAATAATCAATCCTGATGACTATATAACTGAAACATCAATTACAACATAGCCTCCTCTAATACAAGAAGGTGGCAAGACAAAATTGGCTAAATGTAGTTTTACATGTTAGAACCAAATTTCATCAAAATGGGATGATTTTTAAACGAGTTATCATGCCGATGGGCGTATATGTATGTATTTAATGGATGGTGTTTTTGGCCTCTGGGGACATCAAAACAAAAAAGTAAATCGGTGCCGGGTCTAGAACTTACCATGAGACCTGCGCTAATAGCTTATTCCCTATGTGGGATGTATATTTGTTAAACCTAAATAATAATATAAAGTGACTGTATAACACTACTCACAGACTTGGGAGTTGTATAATGTTCTGGCACTGGGCACATGGAAGGCATTGATTTAGAAGGGTTCAGACCGAGCTCTTTGCGGTAGATTTGAGGTGTAAGAGTTGACTGTAATATGTGCTTCCCTGTTACTTTCTTCAAATTTACATTTTTTCTATACAAAAAAAAAAACACAGCTTGTTAGACATTTATATAAAAGACAGCATTAAAATATTTGAAAACTAAATGATATTTTTACATATATATATATTATATTTATATCAAAGTTTTTTAACTGTATTTCTATTCAATGCCTGTGAGCACAAATGACAATGACAACAAATCAACCAGACAGCTCTAAAAACAACAGCTAAATTCTCATAAATCTATTTTTTTTTTATTTGCACGATTGCTTATAAAAGTTCTCCTCCAAATTAGATTGACAAATCTAAATTCTGCAAGGGAGCTACAGAAAAAGCTGATACAACCTAGACCATTAGTGTCACAATTCATGATAAATTTAAAGCATCGATGTAAATGTTTGAGAAATGAAATATTATTTCAACTTGTCTCAAATAAATTTAAGGATATGTTATGCATTTGCAATGACTATTTTATCACACAAGCCTTTTACAGGTTTCACCCATCCTTATCCAAACTTTGTAATATCAATACCTAAATAAATTTCTAAGTCAAGCTTTATACACAAATGATTTACTAGCTGTCCTTGAACACTTTCGTCCATGCTTTAAAACCAGTTGATCTTAGCCATAAACAAAACTATCAGCTCACAGCTCTAATCTTCACCTTAATATATACAAGGCAAATCAGTGCTGTATAAATCTAATCGATCTAACATTTTTCAAATTAAATTAAATTTTATTACAATGGAAATTTTACAAAAAAGAATATATAATACAATCAGAATTCAATCTTTTTTAAATGTATTTGATTATTTATAGACGTACGTTCTCCTCCAAATCACATTAACGAATGCAAATTCTGCTAGAGAACTAAAGAGAAAGCCGATACATCCTAGATACCACACTTCAGAAGACTTGACATAAGACACTTTGGGAAGGGAACTGCCAATGTTTCGTGAGAGAGTGATGAATGTTAAGAGCGTGCTTGTTCCTGCCAACAATTCAAAATGGTTAACGCCTATAGATAATAAAACAATAATCATGCAGAATATTTTATGAAATAAATCATTATAATTTGTAAGAGTATTATTATGTTTGATTGCTTGATGACAGTTATAACTGGATGCCTTTTTATGCATATGTGAAACAAGCGCCAAATTGTAAAAAAATGAGCTGGTGCTGCCATCTTGAAGAACAGACCAGAATCTATACCCAGAAAAATTCCCATAGTTGTATGAGTTTCGACAAAATTATTAAAAAAATTGTCTTTCTCTATGTGGGATAGTATATTTTGCAATACGGAACCAAGCGCCAACAATGTTCATCATGCATCATATTAAAGGCGACCTATAATATATATATTATATAATATATATAAATATATATATATTTTTCTCTGTGTGGGATAATCTATTTTGCATTAGAGAACCATGTCAAAATTCTATTCAATACAATTAATTAGTAAACACGACCTAAAATAACCAATAATTTCTATTATGCATAAAGGAACCAAGGAACCATGCATGAGGAACCAAGCGCAATTTAGGCTGTGTCTATGTATGTAACTATTGTAACATTCACAAATAAGCGTAAAAGAACCAAGCGCCATTTTTCTTTATATCAGCCAAAAAAACATAAATAATATGTAGTTCCCTTGATAAATAATTACATATCACCACTACACACATCTAAACCATTTTTGAAGGGTTTGAGTTTTTTAATAATTTAGGACCCACATTAAACTTTGACTCTTAATTTCTCATTTTCACATCTGCGTCACTTGGTTCCCTTGTGCATAAAGGCATCCAGCTACATATCAATTTAGTCCGGTCATTAAAGAGAAATATATAGTGGAGGTTCAACAAAACTGTTTCAAAGGGGTTCTCAACGGATTTCATTACTTTTATACCTCCACACAACACAAAAAAGTGTACCAAAATCTGACTTGGGGAAGTACCTGATATTAGGGTACCTATTTAAATGAAAATAATAAGTGCTCCCCAAAAATCTGTTAAAATCATTTTTGCTATATATAGGGTGTAGTATATAGTTTTTAATGTTTACAAAGGTGGGGAAACTAAATATGCAACTTAAAATTTGGTTTGGCCTCATTTGACACCACAAAATGGCCACCAAAATAAGTTATATGGAGGAAAAACTAAAATAAAACTTACATTATACATTCATAGTTCCTCTTTTATAGATATAGATTGGAGATCCAATATCAATTTGCATTCTCTATAGGTTATTCAGTAATTTTGATGTCTATAAATATACCATGTAGTTTTAATCTACGAGAGAGGTTCAGTAAAACTACTGAGAACACCTTTAATGGATTAAAATATTTATGTTTTTAAAATGTTTGGAATAACATGCAGAGTCAAAAAATTATGGAAGTTATTTTGGAGAAACCCCTAAAAAAGGAAAAAATCGAAAAACTCTTATTTTTATTTTAAGTTTCAGACACAAAATTCAATCAAAAATGTAAAAAATTACCTAAAATGGTTCGCCCTGGTGTGGAATTAGCATCCAGCCAAAAAGAAACCCATGAAACTATAACGATAAGTGCACTTGGAACATAGTAGTCCATTATGTAAAATCCATACAAACGTTTAAGAGTAAAGTATACAGACAGCGTGCTGAAGTTTCCAGCTGAAAAAATACATTTGAATTGGCAAACAGAATTTTACTAAGGAAACTAGCTGTTACCCACGGGCTTCACCCCGTTTGACTTCATAAGTTAATAATAGTCAAAGGCATTATCAAAGATTACAAGTAATCTTTGGTATTATTAAAACTATTGATTGGTTAAGTTAAGCTGAAATAAACAAAACAGAATAAAGTAATACAAACAAACTAGTGGCTTGTAGGGGCAATAGCCCCTATATATATATATTCTAGTAATTATTTTGTACAAATTATTAGTCTCATGGGTTACCCTACCTTGAATTATTGTTTACAATTTGTGTATATTATGATATGTATAATAGATACCTGCATAATGAATTTTGATGTCTGCTCTGTTTGAAATAAAAATTCCAAAGGACTGTTCATGCGGTGTGTTAATAATATAAACTTTCTGCCACCATGCGGAGTGTGGGAACTATTAAATGATGGTGAAAAAAGAAATTTAAAAACAATAAAACCCTACGCACCAAACTTACAGGGCCTACCTAAAAGTACACAAAGATAATATACCCATACGACCTCTAGTTAATTATACTTCAGCTCCAGCATACAGAACTGCCAAGAAACTCGACAAAATTACCAGAAACAACATCAATCTCAATCCTAGTCACAGCATAAAAAACAGTTTAGAACTTGTGGAAAAGATAAGAGACGTACCAATCACTCCAGATCAAACTGTCTTATCTCTAGATGTAGTGTAGATAATATGTATACAAACATCCCTGTAGACGAATCCATAGACATTTTAAGAGTTAGACTAACAGAAAACAACAGCCTAAGCGTTACTAAAATTAACGAGCTGTGCAACCTAGCGAAAATAGTAACTAAACAAAACTACTTTAAATTCAATGACAAATACTACATCCAGCAAGATGGACTAGCGATGGGGTCACCATTGTCAAGTGTGCTAGCCGAAATACAGGGTGTCCCGTAACTCTCTGGACACTTGTACATAGCGTTATTCCTTAGGTCAAGACAAACACATTTCACCATAGGAACATGGGTCTGTGGTGTCTTGTTTACCGACTGTCGGCATTTATGTGTTTTTTACATAAACATTAATAATTCCTAAATGGTTTTAGATACATTTTATTATATATTTTATTTAGTTTTATTTTGATATTTTGCAAAAGTGTTAATCTTATTAAGACCTATTATTGTTAGAAATTATACTAAAAAATCATTAACCGTTTCAAAATAGCGGCCATTTAAAATATTTGATGCCAAATTACACGAAAACCGTTAACTTTACAAAACAATTGCAAGAGACATAAAAGTTTGTAAATTTTATGTAGTTTTCAATGATACCTTATTTGTTAAGATTGGATAAATAATAACAGAGAAACGTGTTGTTTTCGTAATGTATGACCACTTTTCTCCATTTAAACAATGCTAATACACCTTTTACGTTGTTTAGCATTGTTTAAATGGAGAAAAGTGGTCATACATTACGAAAACAACACGTTTCTCTCATTTCTCTGTTATTATTTATCCAATCTTAACAAATAAGGTATCATTGAAAACTACATAAAATTTACAAACTTTTTTGTCTCTTGCAATTGTTTTGTAAAGTTAACGGTTTTCGTGTAATTTGACATCAAATATTTTAAATGGCCGCCATTTTGAAACGGTTAATGATTTTTTAGTATAATTTCTAACAATAATAGGTCTTAATAAGATTAACATTTTTGCAAAATATCAAAGCTGTATCTAAAACCGTTTAGGATTTATTAATGTTTATGTAAAAACACATAAATGCCGACAGTCGGTAAACTAGACACCACAGACCCATGTTCCTATGGTGAAATGTGTTTGTCTTGACCTAAGGAATAACGCTATATACAAGTGTCCAGAGAGTTACGGGACACCCTGTATATTTAAATGATTTTGAGAATAAACACATGAGCCAAAATAACAAATACAGGAAATTTATAATATTCTACCATAGGTACGTTGATGATGCCATATGTTTGTTTAAAGGAAATCAGAGACAAATCAACCTTTTCACCAAACATCTCAACGCCGCTCACCCAAAAATAAAATTCAAAAACGAAATTGAATCTGACAACAAAATAAATTATTTGGACTTGATACATACAAACATACAATACATACAAACGAAAACAAGCATCAGTTTAGCATTTTTCGCAAGCCAACCCAGTCCAGCCAAACAATACACGCCACTTGCAACCATCCAGTTTCCCATAAAATGGCAGCCTTTAATTCATTTATACACAGATTAAACCAGATACTGTACCTATGACCAACACCAACTACAACAAGGAACTAAATTTAATAAAATATATCGCACAAGATAATGGCTATGACAGTAACATAATTTACAGGATAATTAAGAAGAAAAAATCCCATGCCCCGAACACTCCCAAGGAGAAGAAGAAATTCGTCACACTAACATGCAATAATTGGCTGAACTACAAAACCAACAATATATTCAAAAATCACGGTTATACAGTTGCTTACAGAAATTCCAACAAACTAGAAAATCTCATTAACCCCAGAAAAGAAAGTATTGGTGACAAATTCGACAGCAGTGGGATATACAAATTAAACTATTACACTAAACTATTTATTAATTAAATTATTTTGCAATGAATGTCCAAAATACTATAGGTATAGGACAAACAGGGAGATTTTAATGAAGAATTTAATGTCCACACTAGAGTGTTACGAAATTTATAAAGCAGTACAATGTGAACCAGACAACGTACTGAATGACAAAATTAATACTCAAGGAAATGCATTGTTCGACACCTGGAGAAGAGCAATGACGTCATGGTGCAAAGTACACCACAGACAACACTCCATCCTGCAGTCGTCGCCCAGAATTAATCATGTGCGTACGCGAGTTGTGGCCACAGCGACGACAATACCGATCGGTACTTAAATGTAGTAAATATGTGTTCGTGATATGTGTTATGACTGTTTTGTGTTAATCTACAAGACGAAGCGATAGCGGATCACCTGAAGATGTCACTGTGTTGACAAAAAGCGTCGTAAGACTAGACCATTTTGGAACGTTAGAAGGTAACATTATATTATTTATTAATAACTGACGTTCCAGTAGTAGGAATGAATTCTAAGTGTGGGAACTGTTTATGACGATTAGATTAAGATATCTGCAATCCTAAAATGCTACGGAAAGGGAGGGAAACAGGCCTGTGACGTAGGAAGTGGTGAAGGAAGTAGTAAAGGCGAACTGTCCGGAGTGTGGAAACTGTTTATGACGATTAGATTAAGGTATCTACAATCCTAAAATGCTATGGGAAGGGAGGGAAACAGGTCCCTGACGTAGGAAGTGGTGAAGGAAGTAGTAAATGCGAGTGTCCGGAGTGTGGGAACTGTTTATGACGATTAGATTAGGTATCTCCAATCTTAAAATTCTATGGGAAGAGAGGGAAACAGGTCCGTGACGTAAGAAGAGGTGAAGGAAGTAGTAAGGTGAGCAGTGTGGGGTGTGGGAACTGGAAACCGTTTGTAGCAGTTAGATTAATGTATCTGCAATGTGTAATAAGCCCCTAAATATGGTGATATTCTAATCTTATCCGATACTCTAATACGAGCAATGTTTGCTTGTACGTATGTATGTATGTATGTATGTATGTATGCTTCCTTGCTTGCTTGCTTGCTTGCAGAAAGATCTCGAAAACGGCTCCGACGATTTTCTTCAAATGTTGTAAATAGTTTATTTTTGGCCTAAAAACCAGTTTATTGCAGTTAGAACTGCCAACAAAAATCTAATTACGTAGAAAAATAAAACTGAAAGTCACATATTTTTAACATTAGTCTTATGGGTTGCTAAGTAACCATGTTGGTTGAATTAAATAACAAGGAAAAAGTAAACAAAAGACTTGTAAGTTGTAACACATGTGTTCATAAAGGCAACTACCCACAGTATACTAGAAATTACAAAATACAGTACAAAAGCAAAAAAAACTTCACTTGTTACTATTGAGCAATGATTATACTGAAGCTTACTCGATACATTGTAGTAAAGGATAAGCAGTGCGGAGTGTGGGATCTGTTATGACAATTAGATTAAGGTAGATTTCCCATCCTTATGGAGCTGAAGCCAATTTTATTGTTAGTTCTGTCCGGTTTCCTGTAGATGTCGTGCTTTGTTTACAATTTGTTTCTTGTTATTTCAGTTATTTAAAACCTCGTTTAACCAAATAATACTATTCAATCATAAACGATAACTCGTTCACTATATTACCGTACTATATTACTATATTACTATCGTTGGCTATATTTAACCAAACAGTGAGACACAAATAATGAGAAACTAACCCTAAAATAATAGAAACAAATTGTAAACAAAACACGACGTCTACAGAAAACCAGACAGAACTAACAATAAAAGTGGCTTCAGCTGTTCCATAAGGATGGTAAGGTATCTGCAATCCTAAAATGCTATGGGAAGGTAAGGAAACAGGTCCAAGACGTAGGAAGTGGTGAAGGAAATAGTCAATGTGAGCTATCCTGAGTGCGGGAACTGTTTATGACGATTAGATTAAAGTACTTCATGTACTTTATGTGTTTTTGACGTGCTCAACCGCGGGCGAAATGTGTTGATTTTGTGTTTCTTCACTTTGAAGATGTGCTCATTGTAGCACGAAACAGCTGTCGTGTTTGACGACTAAACAGGATCATTTTAGGCAAGGTAAAGTAAACCATATTCTGCTAGATTAAAGTATCTGCAATTCTAAAATGCTATGGGAAGGTAAGGAAACAGGTCCGTGATGTAGGATGTGGTAAAGGAAATAGTAAAGGTGAGCGGTCCGGAGTGTGGGAACTGTTTATGACGATTAGATTAAGGTATATACAATCCTAAAATGCTATGGGAAGGGAGGGAAACAGAGGTCCGCGACGTAGGAAGTGGTGAAGGAAGTAGTAAAGGCGAGTAGTCCGGAGTGTGGTAACTGTTTATGACGATTAGATTAATG